GGATGGATGGATGGATGGATGGATGGATGGATGGATGGTTTCATTTAGTTTATATTCTAACATGTTATAACGACAATAGCTTTCAGTGTGCTCATATTTTCAAAAATCTAATATTTTTTAAACAGGATTTTCAATGATAAACAATTTTTTTTAACTTTTTTTATGTTCTCAGAGCACATATCCCCCAAAAATTTATGAAAATGAATGAATGCCCCAAATTCCTTTGCAGTCAAGTATGCATAAATTGATTTTAAACTTCTGCCATGAATATTACTGTATAAACTTTATCACAATTTTTTTTTCCCATCACGTGTATAAAAGGCCTGAAAAACTAATATAACAGGTTCTGTTTAACAAGATTTGAAGAATGTAATACAGTAACAAGTAAAAAAAAAAAACAGATTTGTGTTTTCTAAAGGTAAAATTACTTGAGGTCTCCTCCATTCATGATAGTCATAACCAGACAAAGCTCTTCCTTTGTCTGGAAGGCATACGCCAACGAAACAATAAAGCGACTGTGGACCTTCTCAAGAATCCTCTTCTCCACCATTGCCCCCTGCAAGAAAAAAAAAAAAAGAATGAAAGATCCATTTCAATTTGACATGAGGGACATGTGAAAAAGAAGCTAAAAGGGATTCTTGTCCACAAGAGTTAGGGTTCATGTTCAATGGCATTTTGGAAAGGAGGTGAAAAAAGTGATTTGGACAAGTCAAGGGCAAGATACAACTGTGCCAAGGAGTTCCCTTCAGAGGAGCTTTTCAGTAAAGCTCCCAGTAATCCCTCTATCCCTGTCTCAGTTTAAGTCTGCAGGCTGAAGCCAAACTAGACAAAGATGATTAGCAGCTTGCACAAATCAGAACACTTTCTCTAATTCATAAAACCCGCAAAACACATTCAAATCATCTTGGAATAAAAACATAAAAAGAGGAAAACAGGAGCCTGTAATGGTCTGAAAGTAATGATACTTCCATGTTGTGGTTCAATAAATTTCCTGCAGCTCAAATTTTCAAAATTTTAAAGTGATATTTAAAGCACAATTTTGGTGATACTTGTGTTTTTCCAATGCTATCGGAGCACTTCTACAAGAATCACTGTGAAGATATATACACAAGACATTCACCTCATAGCCTTTCCTTTTCTTCAGCCTCTTCTTGTTGAGTTTCTTACAAGCGTAAAGTTTTCCAGTGGCTTTCATCTGACAGGCAGACACCTCCCCAAACCCACCTTTACCCAGCACACGGAAGTCCAGGAACCAGTCTGCATCCATGGGCTGCATCTCAAGCCACTTCCACTGCAGGAACCGCTTCAGGTACATGCTCTCCAGAAAGAAAATGTATGGGGCCTCTTGAAGGTAGTCCAGCGTTTTAGCCAATGCTGCAGCAAACAAATTGTCCCCCACAGACTCCAGGCTCTCCTTCACCTTGACTATGATGTCCTCAGGCAGGTACAGGCAGAAGTGTTTGGCAGATGGGTCCATGTACCGCTGAACAATCTTAGAGGCTTTCTTTGCTCTTTCAGAGTCCTCTGCCAGATCATAGTCCTCAATGTCTTTCCATAAACGACAAGCGCTGTGATATTCTTGATTTGCTTCCAAAAATTCCCTAAATAGTCGTTTGCCAATTGGCTGTTGCACACAGATAAAGTCAAAGGCCAAATCCAGAGTGTCCCTCAGGCCCTCACACACTGTGATGTGGGGCAATTTGAGACGAGCGTGGTACTTCTTATCCCGAGCTGCAGCAGCGTTGGAACCATCTATGCTTCCACGGGCATTGATGTATGCAGAGTTTGCTACCACAGTGGTCAGTCCTCCGATATCCATGCTGAGGATGGGTTAGTGTTAAGAGAGGAAAGACATTGCACAGAAAAAAAAAAAAAAACAGCTGAAGGTGATAAATGACGCAAACCAATGTGCAGAGAGAAAAGGGAGAAAGGAGTGAGAAAACGAGAAATTGCACAGGAGTGATGTGGAGAGCATGGAGGACAAACTGGAACTGAAGACTGGTGTTAGAACCAGATTGCATCTCACCGAGGATCATTCCACACTCCCACACACACACACACACACACGAGGGCACATACACATACCTGAGTCGACACCTTTCAATAATCCTCTAACACCCAGCTGCCCCAGACAAAGTGTACGAGAGGTGCAACTCCAGTTTCGTATCCTGGAGTGCTACTACCAAGTCACCCAGCAGTTCAACAAAATAAGTGTCTGAATATACGTTACAGTTTTTAGTTTTAAAGAAAACTCATTTGCCCACCAAAACTTATGGTAAATGGACTGTGCTTATATAGCGCCTTTCCATTTAATCAAAATACTCAAAGCGCTTTACACTACAATCTGTGTCCTCATTTACCCATTCATACAGCACTCTACTACCATAGATTTCTACAAAGCTAATCTGAATCTGAAGACTAATCAGTGCTTTATCACATTCATACACCAATGGGGAAGTAATGAGGGGTTCAGTGTCTTGCCCAGTGACGCTTCAGCATGCAATTGCTGGTGGAATTGAACCCCCAACTCTCCCATTGGAGGGCGACTGCTATAACCACTCAGCCACAGCTGCCCCCTGTGAACACCCTTCATAAAAAAAGGTCACGAGTCAGGTCATACACTGTAGTCTGTAGAAACAATGAAACAATTACATTGTCGTTTGCAGATTTTAAACTCGACAGTTGGAAAATGGGCACTTTATTACATTACATCCTTTCTTCTTTAACACATTTTATTTGTCTAAAATACACTGTTAAACTAGGCCATGAATTACTGGTAAAGACAGTTGTATACTATAGGAATTGGTAAAATGGCTCTGAACCGGTTTGGAACCTATAAGTTCTGGTCATACAATTAGAACAACATGAAAAAGTTGATTTATTTCAGTAATTCTATTCAAAAAGTGAAACTTGTATATTATATTCATTCATTACACACAGACTGAAATATTTCTAATGTTTATTTCTTAATGTTGATGATTATAACTGACAACTAATGAAAACCCCAAATTCAGCATCTCAGAAAATTAGAATATTACTTAAGACTAATTTAAATATATATATTTTTAGAAATGTTGGCCAACTGAAAAGTATGAGCATGAAAAGTAGGAGCATGTACAGCACTCAATACTTAGTTGTTACTCCTTTTGCCTGGATTATTGCAGCAATGCAGCGTGGCATGGAGTCGATCAGTCTGTGGCACTGCTCAGGAGTTATGAGAGCCCAGGTTGCTCTGATAGTTGTCTTCAGCTCTTCTGAATTGTTGGGTCTGGTGTATCACATCTTCCTCTTCACAATACTCCACAGATTTTCTACGGGGTTAAGGTCAGGTGAGTTTGCTGGCCAATTTAGAACAGGGATACCACGGTCCTTAAACCAGGTACTGGAAGCTTTGTCGCTGTGTGCAGGTGCCAAGTCCTGCTGGAAAATGAAATCTGCATCTCCATAAAGTTGGTCAACAGCAGGAAGAATGAAGTGCTGTAAAACTTCCTGGTAGACGGCTGTGTTGACCTTGGCCCTCAAAGCACATGGGACCAACACCAGCAAATGACATGGCCCCCCCAAACCATCAGTGATTGTGGAAACTTGACACTGGACCTCAAGCAACGTGGATTCTGTGCCTCTCCTCTCTGCCTCCAGACTCTGGGATGTTGATTTCCAAAGGAAATGCAAAATTTACTTTCATCAGAGAACATAACTTTGGACCACTCAGCAGCAGTCCCAAATGAGACGCTTCTGACACTGTCTATTGTTCAAACGTGGCTTGACACAGAGAATGCGACAGCTGAAACCCATGTCTTGCATACGTCTGTGCATGGTGGTTCTTGAAGTACTGACTCCAGCTGCAGTCCTCTCTTTGTGAATCTCACCCACATTTTAGAATGGGTTTTGTTTCACAATCCTCTCCAGGGTGAAGTTATCCCTATTGCTTGTACACTTTTTTCTACATCGTTTCCTTCCCTTCGCCTTTCTATCTCCCCATTAATGTGCTTGGACACAGAGCTCTGTGAATAGCCAGCCTATTTAGCAATGATCTTTTGTGTCTTGCCCTCCTTGTGCAATGTGTTAATGGTCATCTTTGGACAACTGTCAAGTCAGCAGTCTTCCCCATGATTGTGTAGCCCACAGAAATAGACTGAGACCATTTAAAGGCCTTTGAAAATTTTTGGAGTTAATTAGCTGATTAGACTGTGGCACCTGGTGACATCAATATTGAACCTTTTCACAATATTCAAATTTTCTGAGATAATGAATATGGGGTTTTCATTAGTTGTCAGTTATAAGCATCAACATTAAAAGAAATAAACATTTGAAATATATCTGTCTGTGTGGAATGAATGAATATAATAAAGTTTCACTTTTTGAATGGAATTACTGAAATAAATCAACTTTTTCATGATATGCTAATTTTATGACCAGCACCTGTATATCAGTCTTATTTTGAAGATCTATTTAGTTCCCATTTCATTTCCCAATTTTTCAAATGAGAACAGAAACTAAATCCAGCCAATATATATTTATAAGCTGTTATTTATACTGCAGTACTCACCACAAATTGAATGAAGCTTTTACAGGAAGCTGTGCAGTCATTGCAAAAATCTGTTCAAACTTAAATAATTCTGAGTTTAAGAACTAAATTAGACTTTTACTTGTTCCCACCTTAAAGCAGCTGATCGTTTCATTATCACTTCACTTGCTTTACTAAAAGTCACATCACAAACGTCAAGAAATGTTTTGATGAAAACTTTGCTTGTGACTAATACTGACAAGGTTGAACATGAATTGTTTTAAAACCAGGTTTTACTTTGTAGCCAGAAAACAAAGTGTGATGTTAATTTCTCTGTGTTGGGCTATAATGACAGTATTTATACCGTTTCTTCATCTTTACCTAAAAGATTGAACTCTACAGATCATGCAGTAACACGCCTTGCAATAACACGTTTTCAGGTCTCTCTTGTAAATGAGTCCCCAACGCTCAATGGGATTAACCTGTATAAATAAAGGTTGAATGAAAAATAGAAGTCGGCTCGCACACATCACTGCACCTTGCATGAATCTTAGGATCAGACCTCTTCAGAGCAGCAAACATTCACATTGTTCGTTCTAGCCTATTGTTGGATCATACAGTCGTAACACAAGGTCTCCTGCAAGACACCAAATATTTGGTGGACAAGTTCAGAGCTTTCTTTAGATTCTTCTTAAATCTTTTAAAATAAATTTAAAAAGCACCATAAGAATTCAAACACTTTTATTTATACTTTTGTCTTTTAACAAGGGGAAAAAAAAACTAACTCTTAAAGATGTAAGCTGAAATGCGTTTTAATATTATTTGATTTCAACATTTGTTTCAGCTTGTATTAACATTTAAAATGCACTTTTGCCTGTATTCTCCACTTAGCGTTAAGTGTGATCAGTTATCAGAGAAGAGGATGGGTCTAACCTATGGCCATAACTTCTCTTGACGCAACTGCTTTTTACGGATACTGGTTACATTTTTATCTGCTCCAAGACTTTTGTCCAAAATTATCTAGAAATAAAGCACCATTTTTTTTGCCCAAGCCTGATGTACCAACCGTTAAGATGTTGAAATGACGAGTCTGAACAAGTTTAGCTGCCACAGGAAAATAAAAATAAAATTCTGACCCAGCCTCTGTAGTTTGTAGATCATCTGGGACCAGAGAGGTTCTCGTGACAGAATTTAACAGTTTTTGTGATGATGAAGATTCTTTCCTGGTCATCCCATACTAATCAATATCCATTTTCTGCTGAAGAGTGAAATAATTAAATAATCGAAAAGATGGTAAAAGAGCAATTCAATGATGCTCACATTTATTTTCTGAAGTCCTTCCCTCAGTTTTCCCTTTGCTAAAGACCTCAAACCAGTATGGCATTTTAAAATACAAAAATCTCCTATTTCCTTTCACTTTTCTGTAAAACAAGTTTCAAATAACTTTTTTTTTTAATCTAAAATTGACATGTATTTTCTAAAAGAAATAGTACATACAAAATTATTAAAACAATCTATATTTTAATTTGCAAACTTATATTAGATTACAGAAAAGGTATTTGGAAGAGTCAGTACATGTCTTGGTTTTAAAAGGGTGATCTTTGAAGGGAGTACACAAAGACCTATACAAGCACACATTTTGTTACGTCAATCTTTGAAGATCTATCTTTACCACTGGCCTCTAAAGGATACTATAAGCTACAACCGTGGTAGGTGATACGTAATTAACAAACAAAGCTTAATTACCCATAAGGAGCCTGGGTTATGAGTCTTCACCTCGCTGCTGCCATTATTTTGTAAACACTACCAAGGCATCAACAGGGCGATGGACAATTCAACTCCAGAATACAAAAAAAAAAAAAAAAAAAAAAAAAAAAAAAACTAAAAAAAAAACTAAAAAAAATCAGAAAGCAGCTGCCTACAAAACATAAGGAAGCCAACCCAACACAATGGGAATAAGAACATATTAGAAATCGTTGCCCAGAACATAAAACAAAAATGTACTGACGAGTCTGATGGGGTCCCAACCTGGGACACCATAAAAACTGTTTTCAGCCATTCAGAATCCATGGAGTTGTGCTAAACAACTTAACGCAGACATTTTGGGGAACATTTTGATCATAATGTCTGCCTGCCAAATGCAACTATAAAATATCAACTACTCAAACTCATACATTTTACATTCTCCGAGAGCAATATGTTTTACCATGTGTTGACGAGTGGGATGGCTTATTGAAAAGAGGATTAGACACAAGTTGCAGAGCCACAAACTACAGTTCCCTTGGATCAAACATCCCCCAGAGTTGTGGTGCAGGTGCGTGTGAATCAAGAGCAGAACAAAGATGGGCGTAAAAAAAAAACGAGAAAAAACCCCACCTCTGTTCTTTCAGTATTCATCTACACCCCTGAGAAAGCCAAACAGAGGTGCAGGCATGACGAAACCAGGAAAAGGCTCAAGAAGCGCACACAAAAAGGGAACTAAATTCCCACTGTGACTGTTGCTTGGACAGTGCTTGTTGGAGAGGGGAGGTGTAGCAGGGTTAGTCTTCATCATCGTTCTCCTCATACTCATCCTCGTCGTCATCGCCCATGTAAGACACTGGAGTCTCCACACGAGAGCCGCTGTAGTGAGAGTCGTTCGAACTAGACGCAATGGTGCCATCTGTGCAACCATCACTGCAACACAAGAAGAGGGTATAAATTATACAAGTTAAGATAAAAAACAATTAAGTTTTAATAATGTATGAATACAATGATCAGCTAATTTACAACAGTTAAAATTTCTCACCTGCCGGCAGTGTAACGGGCTCCGTTGGCTGAGGATCCTCCTGTGATGTACACATTACTGATCGGACCTTTTGCCATCTCTTGAAACAAAGGGAACATATTTCATATAAACACATAATTCCTGAATTAATCGCTCCTCAGCAGCACTGACTGTAAGCAAACACCACATGTCAAAACTGGCATGGTAGCTACAGGTAACGATGAGGTGTGTTTGGACTATTTCCAACTAGAAACAAAACTTCACGTGGAGGCAAGAAAGAGATTACTGAAACTTCAACAATCTTATTCATTTCAACTGCTGTTGAATGGTTGATGGAGAATTTTGAACACCCCCCCCCCCCCCCCCCCCCCAATAAGAACTTTTACAATAAATTTAAAAAGTTCTTGGCTGCTGGGGTGGAGACAATTATTTACATTTAACATGAGTACTGTGGGAAAACCTATAAAGGGAAGGAGAGTGGTGGCACACAAGTTAGAGAAGGTTGCCGGTTCAACTTCCCAGATCGACAACATCAGAATAGTGAGAAAGGCGAAACACCCACACCTGTTACCACCCTCATTTGCCCCACTCTGGGCCATTGAGCAAGGCCCATAGCTGGTAGCCCCCACCAACTGGCAACTCGACTGACATGGAAACCACAGCATTGTCATATAAACCCTCTCTATGCATGATCAATAATCCAAGTAGAAAAATCCAAAAGTTAAGTCTGATCCTCTGGACGTTCAAAAAACAAAAACAAAAAAAGTAGAAATGTTTCGTCTTCCATACGAAAGACTTCCTCAGTCTGAGGTGCTGTATTCAGCTCAGTCTCTTAAATAGCACCTTCTCAGAGTGGATCAACCAGTTTTGCTGCTGACAACCAAAACCACCTGATCACATGATCAAGAAGGACCATCAGCCTAACAATGGATCATTAGCACACTGATGGCTGTTTACTATTCACAGAGGGCTGAGTGATACTAGCAATCACAGCATTGTAAGAGGGGGACAGTTGAACCCGGAGGCCTCCACCCCTGTTTAATGATGGACGGTTTCTTTTCACAAAGATGGCCTCCTTTACTCCTCTCTCAAACCATCATTCCTCTCTATCCAGGATGTGAACATCTTCATCCCTGAAAGAGTGACCGCTGGCCTGGAGATGAGTGTAGACCACAGAGTCCTGGCCTGATGATGTTGATCTTCTGTGATGGGCCATCCTTTTGGCCAGTGGCTGTTTAGTTTCCCCGATGTAAGACTGATCAAAGCCCTCCTGACAATGAACAGCAAACACAACATTGCTCTGTTTGTGCCGGGGGACTGGATCTTTGGGATGAACCAGTCTTTGCCGTAATGTATTTTGTGGTTTAAAAGCCACTGGGATGTTATGTTTAGAAAATAAATGTCTCAGTTTCTCTGATACTCCCTCAACATACGGAATGGCCACTGGTCTGGGTTCCTCCTTTTCACGTGATGGCTGACTGGAGTCCTGTTTTGGTTTCTTCTCTGCTTTCTGGAAGGCCCAGTTAGGATATCCACATTGCTCTAGAGCCTGTCTTATGTGGGATTTCTCCTTCTGCCTGGCTCCTGAGTTAGTGGGGATGCTGTCTGCTCTGTGATACAGAGACCTGATGACTCCTAACTTGTGCTCCAAAGGGTGATGGGAGTCAAACTGCAAATACTGGTCTGTGTGGGTGGGTTTGTGGTACAACTCAGTTTGCAAATGTCCTCAATTAGAAACTGAGACCTCACAGTCCAAGAAAGCCAACCTGCCATTTTTTTTTTTACATCTTTTCGTGTGAACTTGATGTATTTATCCACAGAGTTGATGTGGTCAGTGAAATGTTGGACTTCCTGAGATTTAATTTTAACCCAGGTGTCATCAACACACCTGAACCAATGACTTGGTGGTGTCCCTGAAAAGGACGTCAAGGCTCTCTTTTCTACCTCCTCCATGTACAGGTTGGCAACAATAGGAGAAACTGGAGACCCCATAGCACACCCATGTTTCTGCCTATAATATTGCTCCCCATATGTGAAGTAGGTTGACTGCAGGCACAGTTTCAAGAGTTGACACAGTTGTTCTGTGGAAAGCGTGGTCCTGCTGCTCAGAGTGGTGTCTGATTTTAATTTTAAACTGACCACCTCTACTGCATCATTAACAGGAATGCACGTAAAGAGTGATGTGACATCAAAAGAGACCATTGTTTCATCAGTCTCCATGATGACATCCCTCACCTTATCCACAAAGTCCATGGTGCTCTGTATGTGGTGTTCTGAGCTGCCAACTAAAGGGATGAGTACAGACGCCAGATATTTGGAAACATTTTAAGTGACAGAGTTAATCATGCTGACAATTGGTCTTAAAGGTACACCTTATTTGTGGATTTTAGGTAAACCATACAGACTAGGTGTGGCCTCCCCTGGGTACAGTCTGTGGTACAGAATACGGTCAACAGCCTTGTCCTGCTCCAAAAAGAAATCCCACACATGACAGGCTCTAGAGAAATGTGGGGGAAATGCAAAGTTTTTCAGATGTTGATTCAAGAAAAAGAATCCTCATTTACATGACCGCATTCAGTGTTTACAAGTAGGAAGCCGCCCCCCCCCCCCCCCCCCCCCCTGCCTGGGATCCCTGTCCCTTAAGACTTTCCTCTGAGCTTAAAGCCCAGTAACAACAAAACTTAAAAGCCAAATTTCGGATAGGAGTCGATGGATTTGACGCCAAGTGGGACAACTTCATCTTAACAGCTCGACACCGGTCACTGAGCGAACCAGCACTGACGAGGATGATGTCGGGCTTTCCACTTCCGTGTTAATCAGTGGCCGTCGAGCAATGCTACAGCAGCTAAATCCACGTTCTCGATAATGTTTGCTTGTATTTTTTGGTTACACAAACAACCAAGTGAGTTTTTATTTTGCCTGCGAGAAGTTATCCTCCCACCAGAGGCGGATCAGTTCTGAAAGAGAACATACACCTCAGCTGTGCAGGAAGACGTCGAAGAGATATGTTGGATCAACTATTTACTTAAAATGCCCCAGTTCTTTTTTCCAATTCATTCAATGTTTTAAGCATTTAGCAAAAGGAGTGACAGCCTGAACAAGCCAGATAAACAACATGGTATCAGTATCCAGGATGACAAGAGAGGAAGAGTCCAGTTCATTGATGTAGTTTACAGTTCGGGTTAATGTGTTTCGTGTTCAGTTTTCTTATCAGGGTTTGTGTGACAGTTTGTGGTGTTGAATGAATAAAAATTAAACCTAATGTCTTCATTTTCAACTTTAATAACATGCAATATGTTTCACATCATCGTTTAAATCACATAACTTGAATTACATAATGTCCAGATAGCTTCATTGTATCTCCTACCACTAACAAATACTGTTTTTGTTACTATCCTGATGCATGCTCAATATCCTGATGCATGCTCAATATCCTGATGCATGCTCAATATCCTGATGCATGCTCAATAATCCAGGTAGAAAAATCCAAAAAAGTTTAATCTGTGGGTGTTTTTGTTACCGTTATTATTGAGCACATAGTATGTTATACTCAACGTTTACTATGCACTAGTGTACAATGTTATAGTATGTTATACTCGAGGCATGAAATATTCGCCTGCCTCGACAGGCTCGTTCAATAAATAGTGATATTAGAACTGGATCCAACAGGAGTCTCTCCCCAACACAGATGTCGGTCACAGCAGCTACATTCTGGCGTAGATTAACAACGAGACCCAAAATATATTCCATCAGTCGTAGCACAGAAAGCAGTGTGTTACACTCCAGCGCCATTGTTGTTGATAGAAATATGCCGTTGGTCCGCGCATGCGTGAACTATACGCCTGTAGTGCGCATGTGCTTTGACACCTCAGCGGGGTTCACCCGAAAATCTCCACTCTCAGGCCCTATTTACACGGACACGATGGGGGGGAAACGTAGGTTTTTTCTTATGTTAATTAGAGGAAAAGATCCGCGTTGACACGGACGCATTTTGTGTTTACATGCATCCGGAGGAATCCCCCCCCGCCCCACTGAATCCGCTGTAGTTACCATGCCAGGTCATTAGATGGCGCTGTGAATTTTGTACCTTCACCTAATGCGCATGCGTGCTGTCTCGGCACGCTCCTTTCCTCTGGGCTAAAACTTCAGCTAACAACAATTTAACAAGTTAAAGCTGGATTTTGGATAAGAGTCGACAGATTTGACGCCAAGCGGGACCGCTTCAGCTCCACACCGGTCGTAGAGTGGACCAGAACCGAGTTGACGATGTTGGACTTTACTCCGTGATAATCAGTAGCTGATTTACAGCAAGTAAAGCAAATGTTCTTAATAATGTTTGCTTGTGTTTACTTCGATAACACAACAACCAACTGAGTTTTTATTTTTCCTGAAAGAAGAAGCTGTCCTTCCACCTGCGGATGCACTCAAAATACGCACCGTGTAAATGGCCCCTGAGATCTGGGTTCTAAAACCTCCGGATTCAGAGAGGGCGGGGGCTGGTGTAGTGCAAGGGGC